AGGGCTCGTTCAGCGGCTCAGTTGGCGGCGGATCGTCCGGTAAAAACTATAGATCGTAATCAATTATTACCTGTGGCTAGAAAAACATGCAATTCCAATTGCACATGATGATTCGGATAAAGTGTAACATATTGTAGCATTAAATATTAATTCTGACGGTACTATTTTGAATACAGTTTTTTGCATTTATATTATTAATTATTATTGTAATTATTTTGTAATTTTGTTAATTTTGTTAATTTTTATATTTAGTAATTATTTGCATATTTAAAGTGTCAAAGCATTTGTAAAAACACTGCAATCATTTTGTATTGTGAATAACTAAATAAAAATTCATGATATATTGTTGCATGATTAATTATTGTTTCTCATTATTTTGCATTAGTATTATTTAGATAATATCTAAATTAGATAATATCTAATAAATATTATTAATTCTATATTTAAATCATAACTTTAGGTATAGCTCTTGCACAGAGAAATTCATATATACAACCATAACTTATTTTATGTTTTAATGCAATGATGTTTGGATTCACTGGATTTGCATTTCATTCATTGACAAAAACTTACTTTCATGCATAGCTTTTATAGTGCTCTTTTATCCGTATGATTGATTACAAATTATAAAAATGCATGTTTTATGAAATTTGAATAAATTTTCTAACGCTAATGACAAAATTAGCATGCTGAATTTTGTTAACTCATTGTGTTATAACTTGTGCCATCACAACCATAATTTAATGTTGAATGTCAGCCATAACTTTGCGGTGTAGGCGAGAGAATGAGAGAAAGACTTTTTAAAAATATCAAATTTATGACTACAAAAATGTTCATCATTGTTTTTTAAGTGAGACAAATGCTGATCCGTTTAAAACATTGTAATTAATAATGGCAACAAACCTGACGGCGGCCACAATGGGTCAGTGCCTGAAGGACACCACTATTCGCGGCATTAAAGACTTTTTGTCACTTTTCTATATCATGTCTTCCTATGAGACCACTTATGATAACGCTATCGATGTTCCCGATTATGAAGTCAATGTAAGTTATATAACTTGTAACGCATTTAAGCAATAAGTAAATTATGAATGGCCTTGTACATAAACTATTTTAATATTATTTAACTTGAGACATACATGTATGTGATGAAATTAAAATATTACCAACGTCTTAAATTTTAAAAATATAATTTTATAACTTTAATATAACTATTTTATAGTTAACATTTGTTATCGGATTACTTGTTTTACTGGAACAAGTGATCCGATATTTTCAACATTAAGATTTGACCAGATTTCAAGATTATGTTATTAATTCTGGATTCGCCATATTATTTATTTTAATGAGGTTCTATTTTTAAAGCGAACATATTAACCAATCAAATTAAAAAATACATAAAATAAAACATTCGTATAGTATATTGCTCGCCAATGAAGTCTCTATTAGAGACTTAGAGTAGAAAAGCCAATTGTCATACACCACATTAAAATTATGGAATTATGTTTCAAAGTTTGGATTAAAAATTATTGATCATTTAAATCATTTTCATAAAACTTATTTCAAACGTCGGAAATTATTTCATTTTACTCTCAACTTAATATTGAAGAATTCCCATTATTAATAAATAATGCATTAACAATTCTAACATATTTTGAATCTACTTTTAATTGTGAACAATTTTTTTCATTAATGAAATCGAAAATGAAATGAAAAACTGGTAGTATTTCCGCAAAAACATTAAGATCACGTTTGAAAATATAGTCATCAAATACGATTGACTCAAATGTTAATAAAATTGTTGATAATCGCAAACAATATCAGAAATCTCATTAAAATGTGTATTTAATAATTAAATTTTGTT